CAGTACTTGTCCTGACAAGTTGGGATACAACACTTTTTATGAGTTTTATTCATATTTTCACAGACTTAATACTACTCTTTCAATATTAAAATAATTTAACAAATATAAAAAAGCACAAACACAAGAACAACAAAACACAAACCAACTAAACTAATGATTAATAACGCAACAAATAAAAGCTGGAAAGAAAGGGTAGGTACAACAAAACAGGATTTCAAAAATGACTTAATTAATGTCGCTTTGATGACAGATTGTTAATTGATTTGACACTTTTGATAGTTGGCGTACTACATAGAACATAGTAACCCCCGTAACTAAGGAAAAACTCGGAATCACTGCTCCAATGCATTTTTTACGAAATGCCCAGGCGGGATATTCATACATTTCATTAAGGAGGCGGTGGGTTAAAGGATACAAGATAAATAAAAAAACTATTTAAAAAAAAGAATCTGGACAATGTCCTCCCACCTCGACCGACACACGGAACAAGTTGTAATGTTGCGGGCACGTATTTCGTTTGAGCAGTTTGTACACAATGCCCGCAACGATAAAACATGTGTGTCGCTCGTGCACCCCGACAAACCACATATAGAGGAGGATTATGTGGTGGATCATCTGTTAAAAGAAATGCGTTTATTGCATTGAATAATGTTAAATTAGCAAACATACCAAGGGCAGGAACTTCCAGAGGTCCAGGTCGAGGGGGGCTCAGGAGGGGCAACGAAGTGATTTTGAGCTAGGGCGTCAGRTATTAAAAAAGATTGATGAATAATCAAAGAAAAACCACTTAACTTTGAAACCATCTCTGAAATTCCTTATTGTCTAGCAATGAGTGAAATGCTTATGAAAAAATAAAACTTATTTCAAACATACCTGGGGCGTCTACAATTAATTGCTCCGGTTCCGGGAAAGGCAGTTCGGGAAGGGCAGCCAAAGGGTCGTCTTATTTAACAAAGTTTTATAAGTTATCGTATATTTAAAAATTAAATTACTGGAAACGATATCTGAAATACCTAATTATTATGTACTAAAGTAAGCAAAAATCCAAATTTAAAATACAACTTATTTTAAACATACCTGGAGCGCCAACGACGATTYGTTCCGGGTGCGGGGGTTCTGGAGCGGCAGCGAGAGGATCGTCTATTTAACAAAATTTCATAAATAGCTTTACATTTAAAAATCAGTTAACTCTAGAACGATATCTTAAATCTTTTATTATATTTATTTATAAAAGAGGAAGGCAAAAATCTAAATAGTTATTTTAAACATACCTGGGGCAACAATGAAAACCGGGTGAGGGGGCTCGGGAGGGTCACCGAGATGGGCAGCAAGAGGATCGTCTATTTAACAGAATTTGATAAGTAACAATAATACATTATAATAATCAGTTAAGTCTTAAAACGATATCTGCAATGTAAAAATCTGTTGACGAAACATTTACACGTGATAAATACGGGTACCTGTGATGAAATTATTAAATAATATAAAAACGCGTACACACCTGGCTCGTCTGCCTGGGGATGTGCGTTGGCCCAATTTCGTAGGTTGCGGTCCAACTTTTCTACGACGTACGAGCTACGGCGTAGAAACTGGACCAACGAGATCCGGCCAAACTCCTCCCTCACGCGGCGATCTTGTGCCGCATACGCCACCCTCATCCATCGAGTGACTTTATGCCCCCGGGTTAATTGCTCCWACACAAGGTGGCGGCCGTCTTTCATCACTTCCACTAGTCTCCCTAAAAGAAAAAAAAATAATTAATTGCATATAATTAATGTTATAACGTTATTAGTTTTAAACTAAAAGACTTACAAAAAAACGAATCACTTATGAATAAAGAAAATTTGCTTACCCAAAAGATCCAAATATTGGGATGTAATTCGCCAATGCAATGTTTGAGGAGACTGTGGAAGGACTCGATGTTGTTATTAGTCCTTCGGGGCAACCTGAAGACGGACACACAACCAGTACCTGAATTTAGATTTTGGATTAACAAATTTGTAAAATATAAAATATAATTTCATACCGTTGAATATAATTGAATAAGGCACCCATTGCCAAATTGTGACTCACCGCCTCTTGCCGTACTTCTTGTAAATCCTCCCTCATGTTGGCTGCGGGAAGGAGAGGCAGTGCCATAGCCATTTGGACTACCCTTCCGGCATCTTCGTTCCGCCTTCAAAGGCGGTCATAATGACTTCGGGTGCCAATGTAGGGGCCACCTGGGTCTTAAAATAGCATACAACTTCATTATATGCCTCTTGGGACCACGTACCCATGAGTGCAAACATCATCGGTATCGCCTATAAACCAGTTATAAAAAATAATTAAGAAAATTAATATATTATAATTGCAAGCAGTTATGCAATCACTAAACGAGCACATATATTATTTATTGTGWTAAAAAAATCTTACATGATTTTCCACCATAGCGTGTATTATAAAAAGTTTTATTGACGGTGGAGACGCGGGCACCACTTTAAAAGTTCCGTCGGCATGAATTTCCGAAATGCCCCGGCGCACTAAATTCTCCACAAAGTCATTACAACAGAAGATTATGTTTGCCCCGACGACTGTTTGGAAGACGTCTCTTCCACAACAAACATATTTTCTGTCGAGTTGTTGGTATAAAAGGTTCCCCAAATCGACGATACTTTGTGGCACCGCAGGAACCGATCGTCGCCGAGCCGACCTCATCATAGATTCCGCGCGCGCTCAAGGATAGTAAACAGTGGCTTCAATGTGACTACACTTATTATTATAGAAGATTCGACTGATAAATTTAGTTAATTATTACTAAGGTTCGGATTATATGCAAAATGTATATTTGTTATTAAGAGGTATATCAACAAAATTGTAAGTTTTCTATGCATATTTAATGTTTTTTGATTAAAATAAGCCAATTAAAAAATGCATATTTGCATATTTTGGCAATTTTAGGAAATAATGCATATTTGTGCATATTTTCTTCAAATCACAAATTTCCGATTAAAAATTTCAGTTCAAGTTAAAAATTGGCCAGTTTAAGAAAAATGATCCGATTACAAAATATGTTAAAAAGAAAACAACCAGTAATTCGTAAGCCGGACTCAAAGAATTAGTATCCTGCTGAGTGTTTCCTTTTTAAATTCATTTTATACAGGGTGAATATGAAGTTTAGAACCAAACGGTTTTTTTTAAATTATTTGACTCTGGAAAATAATAATTAATATAAAATAAAGTAATATAAAAATCAGATCGTATTTTCAAAACGAATTTTTTGTTGCTTTGAGTTATGCGATTTTTTTTGTCAAAATTGTAATTTTTGTATTTTTTTTAAATTAATAAAAAGTAGATAGTCTCTAACACAGTTGTTTTTGGGAGAGTATACAAAACATTTTTTTAGTGGCTTGCCATTTAAAAAAAATAAATTTTTGTAGAACTCAAAAACAAAAACAAAAAATTCGAAAAATTTTATTCTTGATAAAACATTTAATTCATCAAATAGTTTTTAAAAAAATAAATAGTTTAATAAATAGTTTGGTTCTATACTTTTTATTCACCTGGTATAAAACGAATAAATTCTTCTATGTGGATAAGTAGTTGCCTGCAAATGAATTTTATCAAAATTGTTTAAAGTTATGTAATAGTAACTTTATTTTGACGGTAACATGTGATCTGAAAAGTACAGATTTCTTAGGAAGGCTTAATTAGCAGGTTATTGAAATTTCTTGTCTGAGGCAAAACCAATTTATTTATTCTCTTTCGTTCATCGTATGCGGTTATTACGCCTTAATTATTACCGTGAGAATGATTATTGTGGGGCTTTATAACCGTGAAAACTTCGTCTTCTACTTTCAAAGTTGCCCCACAATAATAACTGCTGTGCTGCTTGCACTTAAAATACCTGAATTCGACGTAGATTTTTTCAAATCTCCCGCTTTTTTGCTGTCATTTAATTAACTACCAACCTACTTCCAAAATTCCAAAATTTGATATTCTGAAGCGAATGAAAATAGACTTCACTTTAACATTTTTCCAAATGTTACATGCAACTACGTAAAACTTTCATTTAATAAACAAATGTCACAATTTTATTATGTTAATAAAACTTAGGGTGGTACAGCATGGTCATTCATGTAATTTTGACATTGACAATAATTGTTTATTAAATGAGACAGACTTTAATGACTTCATAGTATCGTGTTATTAAAAAAAAAATAGTGTAGAAAACAATAAAATGAAGTTTTGGTTTTTCGAATTAAACAATCAAACGCTAATGATGTGAACATTTGAATAACAAACTTACCCCACAGCACCTCCCCTGCCTTTCGATGAAGCCACGGCAAACAGATAGATCACTCACACTGGTTTCTTGATATTAATATTTAAGAGAAAAAGTTTTAAAACACTAAACTAACTAACACTAAACACTAAGACTACTAAAAACTCGAACTACCTATATAGAAAAAAACAAAACGAAAAATACACTACGACTATAAAAGCACAAACAAGAAAAAACAAAACGTACGTAAGCAGAATATTGCAACACGAATTTAAAACTGGCGGGTAACGTCTCTAAAGACCGTTTACGCAGAAAGTAAAGAGAGTCGGCGCCAACTTAGCTATTTATGGGCGCAGAATCCTTGTAACAAAAGTACAATCAATAAAAAAAATCAAAGTATAATCAATAAAACACAGTGTTTATAGAAATGTTTGTGAAGTTGGATAAGAAATTCAGATTCAATGAGCTACTGTAATTTTGCTATTTTCTTTTTTTTTTTTTTCATTGTTCGGTGAATTGATGTAAAACGTTTGATGGTATTTAAGATATTTTCTCACTCGACGATGCAGTTTTAGTTGCCCTTGGTGGGAAAAAATTACAGATTACTTTAGATAACATCAGTCTTGATCTTTACAGCATTATCTTCCCTATACTTAAATATTATAAATTTTTTGGTTTCAAAAGGAATAAGCTTTAGACACAAGTGTGATTTAACCGTTTGAAAAGTCCAACTTGTCCGGCCAAGCGTATCTACCTGAACCGATCCTTCAGGATCCTGAGTCATAAAATTCGTTTGAAAATATTTAAATCTTATTAAACCCAGAATAGACCAAGCACTTGGGTTTCTTATCAGCAATACTTCCAAGAAGAGAGTAATTTAGTTATAGGATTAGCAAATTTCGAATGGGTTAAAGGTAAAGCCGGCAGTCTCTTCAATAAATACCGCACTTTGCTTCATTATTAAATCCGGATGGTCTCCTTGTGTGCATAATTTTAATCTTGTTTCGGGTGCAAATCGCCTCAAGCATGTTCACATTTGTATTTCCCATAAATTTGGTATAGTACTGGTGTAAATAAAGTGGCAAATGTTTGGAAAAAATTTCGGCGAGTTTTTTTCGATGTTTACACTTAACAAACTCGACGTTACATACAAACAAAACGTTTATGGTACAATAAATATTGCCCTTATAAATTAATAGTCAATATTATTGCTTCGTGCTGTTATTAACATGAGTACTTCTCCAATATGGTAAATAAAATAAATGTAAAAAGTTTTCTTTGCATTTCACAAAATTACTATTTTTTTTAAAAACAAAATAATATAAAAAAATATATAAAATAATATTTTTATCAAAATATCCATTAGAAACAATTTTTTACCATACAATTCAATTTTTTCAATGTCACATGTCATGCACTTTCCTATTTTATAAAATAATTATCTAATTATAAATCTTCATATTTATAGTGTACATAGTACTGTACCACAGCAACACCCCATTACACACCAACTCCGGATGAGACCAGGGACCAAGAGAACGGTGACCGAAAAACATTCTAATATAAAATCAAATAGTTAACTTCTAAAAGTTATTTGATCAAACTTTCTTAATTCTTTTTATACATTATAGGTAAAAAAATTATTGAAATTGATATATGATATATTTGTCGTCAGTTTTATTAATTAATTTTAATCTGCCCTTCTATTTAATGATACTGATGATCTTGTATATGTTTTTTTTACTATTATTTAGTAAAGGTACCAAAATTTTGCCAATAAAAGCGACAAATAACATTGAACAAAGTTACAATTTAGGATACAACTTCTTTGTTTCCTCTTATAATAGCCTATAGCAAAAAAAATTGGAAAATTATTTTTGCAACAGAAATAAATAGAGTCAAAGTGCAAAGTTTAAACTTTCGTAACTTCTAAATTTTTATAAATAAAACGTTTTTAACATTTTTTCCATGTTCCTGGTATCTGACTTTATATGGCATTTTTCTCTGGGGCGCGAGTTCTGGTGCACCCTGTATATTTTAATTAAAAAAAAAACAAACCACATAGTTTATAAATGACAGAACATCTTTAAAAAAGAAAAACGGTGTCTAAATTCCGTTCTTCTAGTATACACGTTGATTCAAAAAAGTCGGACCACCGGTTATATACTCATAATATAACGCACAAATTTTAATTTACAATTTTTATAGGTACGTTGCGTGGTTTTAAAAATATGAATGTTTAAAGGGCAACACTGCAGTATATTCTGCACCATTTTGTGCTTGCTATCATTAATTTGAAACGTTTGTTTTCATAGAAACGAATAAATTATTGGTTTATAAATTATAATAAGTTATGAATGTGCTGCTGCCGACTTTTTCAAAAGATCTTAAAATTTGAGTGTTGTAGGTACATAAAGTTTTTTGCATTTACTTATACTACTTTTAAGCCATGTGTTTTAAGATTCTTAAACAATGAAAACAATAAATACATCAAAATAACGTTTCCTAATTAATAAAATAATAATATTAAACTTGAATTTTAGAAGAGTAAATAAAAATTACTAATGTAAAATTGTGACGTTTTTTTGATAGTCAATATTGTCAACTGAATTGCAAAATCACATACCGCTTAGATCAAAATTTTAATTGAAAACACATTTAATAACAAATGCTTTGAACTTTATTTATTGTATTTTATTATTATTTATTGTTTTTATTGCCGATATAGCAACTACCTATTCAGAATAAAATACCAAAATTATGTTTAAAAAACTCTCTGTCAAAAATTTCTGCCCTACCAATTTTTTTGACAGTTGACCTTTTTTATACCTATTTAATGTTACCAAATTCATAATTATATAATATAATACTTATTCACTAAAGGTAGAAAAACTTTGCCAATAAAAATCACAAGTAACGTTAAACATATATAATTACACATTAGGATACAGTTTCTTTGCTTCTTTCTTTTTTCTTCTACACTCTAAAAAGTAAATCATGTAAATTTACAGTAAATAATGATGGTTACCGGTAACCATCAATTATTGATGTATTATTACTGATCATATGTAAATTAACGAAACATGAGTTAAATTCACAATGAGATATGTAATTCACAATGCCGTAAAACTACGTTGTGTATTGTGATTTTACTGTGTATATGTACAACAATTATTGCGAATTTACTGAGTAGATTTACAATAGACATTGTGAATTTGCACAAAAATTTTTTTATTGTTGAATCATGCCTGTTTGCGCAATGTTTGTGTTGATGCTGGAACGCATGGACACACAAACACTGCGCAAACACATACATACAGGGTGTTTCACGTAATTTTACGAGGCCTGCGCCTGTAAGATGCAATTAATAATACATATTTCAATACGAACTCGGTTACAAATTTTGAAAAATTGAATAATCTTCTCTAGTTTGTTCACCCTTTAAAACCTTACAACGTTTTTGGTTAGTTAGTGATTAAGATAGATAAACTAGAATCATA